TTCGGTCAATGCATTTTTGAGGCATTCTTCATTATTAAATTTTTTTCCAAGAAGAAAGTTTTGCAAAGAACGAAACAAATGGTAATCGGAAGGGGCAATATCAGGAGAATATGCAGGTTGAGGGAGAACTTCCCATTCCAACTGGCGCAGTTTTTCAGCAGTGATTCTTGCAGTATGCGGTCGTGCGTTATCGTGGTGAAGAATTACGCCCTTCCGATTAATCAGCGCGGGTTCTTTTTCTCTTAAAGCTTGGGCTAACCTTTCCAATTGGGCACTATACACTGCACTTGTAATGGTTTGGTTAGATGGTAAAAGTTCATAATGAAGAATTCCTTTAAAATTCCACCAAACACACAACATCACTTTTTTCGCATGCAAGTCAGGTTTTGGTGTGGGCTGTGGAGCCTCATTTTTGTCCAACCATTGAGGCCGCCTTTTCAAATTAACATACAGCACCCATTTTTCATCTCTGGTAACAATTTGCTCTAAAAACGGCAAACGGTTTTGATGAGAGAGGAGCGAACTGCAAATTGTGACTCTTTGATTACGGTTGTTGTCGGTCAACTCATGAGGAACCCATTTTCCAAACTTTTGAACTTTGCCAAGTGCACACAATTGATTGGAAATTGTTTTTTGTGAACAATTTAAAGTTGTCGCAAGCTCTTGTTGGGTAATTTGAGGATTTTGCACCAAAAGAGCTTGAAGAGCTTCTTGATCAAAATTGGACACACGGCCTCAACCACTCTTGTCATCTAACGAAAAATTTCCCTCGCGAAATTTCTCAAACCAACGCTGGCATTTTCTGGCGCTAACTGCATCTTGACCAAGAGCACTACAGATGTTTTTTGCAGCCTCACTTGCTTTTCTTCCTAATTGGAACTCGTAAAGCATGCAGTGCCGAATATGCTCTTCATCCGCCATCTTCTTAGCCCTAGTTTTGCAACAAAAACTAAACCAAACACAAACTTTTTCAAGCAAAACTTGTTAATTGCACTTCACACGTTCTGTAGATACCACGTGTTTGAAGGTTATGTCAATACAAGTCAACGCCAAGCAAGATTTTAAACAAATGTTTTAAAACATTAATTATTACTAGACCCGATAGTAGGAAAGTTATATAATTAATACTAGAGACCTGGTGCACAAAATTAATGCACTGAGGGAAGTGTCTCTCAGCCCAGCCTGCACCCTCTTGTAATCTGGAACTGCTGGCTCCTAACCACTTGCCTGCCTTCCTGCCTGATCACCCCTAAGCAGTCTGCCTGCCTGCCTGATCACCCCTAACCACTCTGCCTGCCTGCCAGATCACTCCTAACTCCCCTAACTTCTCACCTGTCTGTCTGATTGCCCCTAACTGCTCGCATGCCTGCCTGATAACCCCTAACTACTCTTCCTGCCTTCCTGATCACCCCTAACATCTAACCTGCCTGCCTGATCACCCCTAACCACTTGCCTGCCTTCCTGATCACCCCTTACCACCCATCTGCCTGCCTGGTTGCCCCTAACCACTCACCTGCCTGCTTGATCGCCCCTAACCATCTCTGCCTTGGCCCCCACTGCCTCACCCTGGCTGCTGTGGCTTTGTCCAGAAGGATGTCTGGAATGATGTCCAGAAGGTCGTTCAGCTGTCCAGTCTAATTAGCATATTATACTTTTATTATTATAGATTAGAGGCCTAGTGCATAGATTCATGCACTGGTGGGGTCCCTCAGGCTGACCTGTGCCCTCTCGAAATCTGAGACCCCCTCAGGGGATGTTGGAGAGCTGGATTCGGCCAATCCCCGCAGGCCAGGCTGAGGAACCTCTCTGGGTTTGGGTTACAGGTGAAGCAGATTTGGGGCAACAGTCCCCCAGCAGCAACCTAACCCATGACCGATTCTGTGAAGAATTGGGCTCCCTCCTCCACTGGTCAGAGCATCTGCCCCCTTAGTGGTCATTGTACATCATAGCTAATGATGAACAGTCTAATAGTCAGTGGTCACTTGGACTTTAATAGATAACTGAAAAAGCCCTCTAGATGCCCTCAAGTCTTGGTGGCCTCAGGTGCAGTTCGTCAAAGGGGAGGAGTTGGGCTGATTACTGAGTAAAGTTCAGTGGAAAATTGATCTTTTCTCTCAAAAGCTGTCAGATTTTCGAGGGCAATATGATGTGTCCATGGTTCTTCTTGTGCTGCAGACTCACTAATGGGAACGTTTCCCTCTCTGCTTCTGCTTCTCGCCTCCATCCACCTCCTCCTTCTTCTATTATGGGCCATATAAGTTAAAATACACACACATGCCTTTTATATATTTTTGAGAAAGAAAATGTTAATGCTTTCATTCATCTTTTTTCTTTAATTAAGAGAAAAATAAATCTGTTAAGGTTCACCCTCCCATCCCCATTTTCATATCTTTTGGCTATCAAGCTAAAGGCTTAAACCCAGTGCATTTTTGTAGCCTTAGGATTAATCTGGAATCTTCCCATTTGGGAGGAAATTATAAAGAATATACTCAGCCCAGATATCAGACTAAATCTGGGTTTGATTGTAGGAATTACAGATTTTGTAGCCAATGCAAGAATCTAACTTCCAGAATCATGGTTTTGGGTTATCCTGCAGGCAGCAATGAGGACCTACTTGAGGAGACATGTCTCCCACACCACTTGGTATCCAGTACATTAGTATGGTTTATTAAGTCTTACCTGGCAGGCTACATTTCAATCACTCCACTAGAATAAAGGGGGTCAAATATATGGTACAGGAAGATGATTTGTCTTTTGAGTGTGGGCACAAAATATAATATATAAATCATGTATCATGGAAAACAAACAAAACAAAAACCTGTTATGGGTGAGAGGAAGAAGTGGGGTTGCAGGTCAGTTCTCTTGATATTCATTCTACCGAGTTCTTCACTATACCTTGCTGGGCTCCAACAGTGTATTCTCCTTGTGTATGTACAAAGCCAGTACTACTGGGGCCTGGTTAAAAAATAATGGTGCTAAGGTTACTAGAATGACCTGCTGTCCTGGATACTGTCAGAAGCCCTGCCTTTTTGTGTTTCGAGTGTCAACACTTTATAGAACTATTGCTATTTCTACCATCCGTTGTGGCACATGAATAAAGGCATCATTAGAAATCACAGTTCATGGAAAACAGAAAGGTGTTCTCTTCCAAGTCTATTGATAGAGACACTCACCTGTCCAATAAATTCACTTCAACTAACTAAATTTAAAGCTACAGGACCCTTTTATATTTTTGTTGTATGCCTGTAAAAGAGCTAAGCTTTAGAGGGTGGCATCCAATAAGTATTTTTGAATGAACAAATGAATAGATAGAGGGAAGGAAGAAGAAATGGAAAGAGTTAGGTACAGCAGGAGGGATTAAAGAGCAAGAGAGGAAAGAAGATATACTTCCTTAAGAACCAATAGTCTTTAATACTTTCAATACTAGGCTTATGTAATTATATGTGATTCATAGCCAATAATCCTGGCTATTGATTTGTTGGCTTGCCTTCTTCCTTCCCTTGGTCATTTATTGGAAAGCCAGATGAGAAACTATATTGACATTTTTTTTAGAATGCCCTAGCTTAGGCCTTATAACAAAACTAGAGGCCCAGTGCACAAAATTTTTGCATGGGTGGGGGGTCCTGTCAGCCTAGCCTGCACCCTCTCCAATCTGGGACCCCTTGGGAGATGTCTGACTGCCGGGTTAGGTCCGATCCCTCTTATAGTCCTGGACTTCTGGCTCCTAATCACTCACCTGCCTGCCTGCCTGGTTGCTCCTAACTGCCCCTGCCCCTGTCAGCCTGGTCATCCCTAACTGCCCCCTGCTGCTGGCCTGGTTACTCCTAACTATCCCCTCCCCAGCCAGCCTGACCACCCCTTAGGGCCCCCCTGCTGGCCTGGTCATCCCCAACTGACCCCTATCAACCTAATCACCCCTCACTGCCTCCCCTGCCAGCTTCATTGCCCCCAACTGCCCCCATGCCAGCCTGATCACCCCCAACTGCACCCCCCTGCCAGCCTGGTCACCTCTAACTGCCCCCCACTGCCAGCCAGGTGATCCTAAACTGCCCCCTCCCTGCTGACCTGGTCACTCTTAACTGCCCCCCCCCCACCAGCCTGGTCACCCCTAACTGATACCCCCTGCTGACCTGGTTGCCATCAACTGCCCCTCATGCTAGCCTAGTTGCCCCCAACTGTCCTCCCTGTCTGCCTGGTCACTCTTAATTCCCTCTCCCCCACTGGCTTGATCCCCTCTTACTGCCTCCCTCAGCCAACCTAGTCACCCCCAACTGTCCCCCTCTGCTGGCCTAGTTGCATCTAAGTGCCCCCCCCACCATCCTGGTAGCCCCCAACTGCCCCTCCTGCTACCCTGGTTGCCCCCAACTGTCCCTCTCTTCTGGCCTGGTTGCCCCACACAGCCTGCTATTCAGTCGTTTTATCATCCCTCACTAAGCCCCCTACTGGCCTGGTTGTAGGCAGCCATCTTGTGAGGGCATGACAGTCAATTTGCATATTACCTCTTTATTATATAGGCTGCTCATAATAATGGAGAGCATTCTGTGCATGGGAGACTGCTCTTCTATAACTGACTATTTTACACATCTCTCATACACCCCCTCATCTTCTGCACTATTTCTACCTAAATTTTGCAATGCCCACTTTGAACTTCTTTATACATATAAATACCAAGTGCTATTAAAAGGTATCAGTGGCATAAGCCCTGCGTAGAGGGTCTTCTCAAATATGCACTTCACTTTAGGGAAAATAAAACACACATTTTTTAGCTTAGAAAATCTTGAATAGGCTGCACTTAGAGTGCCTCCAACCCCAGTCTTCAACATTCTTTTCCATAGATGGTTCTTCCCTTTAAAAACATAACCACCTTTTTGACACCAGTAATAGCTTTAATTCTGCTGTTTAAAAAGAAATTGGGGGAAAATTGAAATGCATTACAGAATTTGTTTCTACTATCATATCTGTGAAAGTATCATATAATTATATTGCTTTTTTTTTTTCAGATTGGAAAGTTGTGTGCCCATACTCAACAACGCCAATATAGATCTGCTTATTATCCTGAAGATCTGTTTGTTGACAAGAAGGTACTGAAAGTTGCTCATGTGGAACGTGAAGAAACCCTGTCCGGCCGCAGAAAGTGAGTCTCTGCCCTCCCCTCTTCCTCCCTCTATTGAGCATACAATTAGCAATTGTGTTTTAAGGTCCAAAAAACATTGGAGTGAAGCTTCTAAAATACATATTATTTAGTCCACCTAAGTAGAGTTTTGGTTTTTGTTTTTTTTTTAGTATATTTTATTGATTTTTTACAGAGAGGAAGGGAGAGAGATAGAGAGCTAGAAACGTCGATGAGAGAGAAACATTGACCAACTGCCTCCTGCACACCCCCCACCGGGGATGTGCCCGCAACCAATGTACATGCCCCTGACCGGAATCGAACCCAGGACCTTTCAGTCCGCAGACCGACGCTCTACCACTGAGCCAAACCGGTTTCGGCACTGAGTAGAGTTTTTGTTTAATTACATTCTATCATCTGTCAGTATTTTTTAAAAAAAGATATTATATTAGATCCAAGCTATATTTAAATGTAAGTTGACCATATGTAAATATCATTATAGCAATGTAGGGTGGAATGGACTTCTGTATTTAAGATCTTTATTGATAAAATATTTTTGCTTGTGATTTGATCTCACAATTCCATGGCTTGGTTTCTGGCTTTTCCCATTATTAGCAGAGTCCAGGATGAGTTTACCAAAGAGAAAATGGCAAGACACACTCATGTGTATACATATACTACACACTACACATTCTTTTAAGAATGATAAAATGAAAGATCCTGTTCCTCTTTATTAAGATAACAGTTTTAAGGAACTCAATTAAAGACTGTATTATTCTCTTCATTCCTCCTCCCTACATCCAGCTTCCCTCCTTCGCAATTCTTGTTTCATGTTCACAATAAGGGGTAGAAATTTGATAGGAAGCCCAACACAAATCTAAGAGAATTGCCTTCCTTCCCCAAAAGCAATACAGCTAATGCACCACTGGCTTAAGATCCACTCCCTGATGACTTCAAGGATATTGGGAGACATTTGCTTACAGATGGAAATTTAAGAGATGAAATAAGTAACATCTCAGATATGGGCTAAATTATTTTATTCATATCCAGTGACTACAGGAGGTTTTGAAATGGCAATTTCTAGTCATATATGATACAGTTTAGAGTGAGAGAATATAGTAAGGTAGCTTGAAAGACAGTCCTCTAAAGGAGGATATCAGGAAGTTCAATTTTCTTCTCTTTTGTTGACTTTCAAGCTAATGGATTCCTAGTTTCTCTGTGGCAGTAGTTTTCAAATATAATTCAAGGACCCAAGGAGACCCAAAGACCCTTTCAGGAGGTCTGTGTAGTAATCAGTCTTTTGATAACTACATATCTCTATGAAGCCGGCTTTTGTTCATATATTTTAATTGCAGCTGATTAAATGCAGAAGCCAATGGAGAACTTATCTGTCTCCTATTATGAGAGGCAATAAAGTTATTTTGCAAAAATGCAAAAAAATATAATTTTTCTTGCTTTTTTTAATAAAAATGTTATTTATGTTAACATATAATGGCTCATTATTGTTAGTTTAAAAACCAATAATAAAATTTTAAGTTTTTTTCTGAGTTTTAATTTCTAAAGCAGCAAATATCAATAGATATATATCACATAGACAAAAGGTCTTTGGGGTCCTCAACAATTTTTAAGAGTGTTAAGGGCTGTATTAGTTATCTAGTGCTGTACAACAAATTATCCCCAAAATGTGATTTAAAATGACAAACATTCATTATATCACAGTCTCTGTCAGGAATTTGGGAACTGCTTCCCTGGGTGGTTCTCAGACTCTAAGGAAATTTCAAATCAAGATGTTGCTTGGGGCTAGCAGTCCTGTGAAGCATTAACTGAGCATGAAGGATCTACTTTCAAGGTGGTTTACACCTTTAGCAAGTTAGTGCTGGTTGTTGGAAGGAAGTTTTTAGTTCCTCACCATGTGGATCTCATGTGTATCTTTACCACATAGCCTCCAGCTTCCCCAGAGTAAGCGACCCATGGAAGACAGCAAGGAGAAAGCTGTTGTTTTTAATTACCTAATCTGGGAAGTGACATACTCTCAATTCTAACATGCTTGATTCGTTAAAAGTGAGTCACAAATTCTAGTCTGCTTTTAAGGGGGAGGGAAATTAAATTCCACCACTTGAATGGAATAGTATCAAAGAATGTGTGAACATATTTAAAAAACACCGCAGGTTCCTAGCACCAAACTATTTGAGAATCATTTCCCTGTGGCATGAAGGATCTCTGTGAAGTTTTTGTGTTTCTGGGAAGGCAAAATTAGACCATTTCTCCAGGTTTGTTTATTTGTTTGTTTGTTTGTTTTGTTTTTAACTCCTGACAGTCCTTTGTCCATTTTTCACCATTGCTTTCACTCTTTGTCCAAACCAATGATGAATTAACCTGTCATTGATCTTTAGCTGGTAGAAATCCCTTGCATATTAGACTGAAGCAAGTAATTTATATATTATATATTAATTACATATAAATAAAATGTAAATCCTAAGTGCAATATACTTTGTCTTCAACCCAGCAGAATTTTAGAAAACACCTATTATGTGTCAGACTATATATTGGACACTAAATATCAAGACACAGTCTCTGCTTTCCAAATCCGTGTAATGTGGAAATGGACTTAAATACAAATAATTCCTAAACAGTTTTGTAAATGCAAAAGAATGTACAGAGTATACAGAAGCAGCCAATTACAACAGAGAAAACCTCTCTGCCCAGGGAGTACTGGCGAAGCCTTCATGGAGGAGGTGGTATATGGATTTATAACAGAATCTTATGCAGAACTTTTTCAAAGTAAACACTCTAGCAGTCCCATTTTGAAATTACTTGGACACTGTTTTGAGTAAGTAGGAGGTTCCACAAGGCCCTTCTGCCATGCCTTTTATCTTGGGCTCTGTGGAGGGAAAGAGAAGACTGTGGGTGTTGATACCTCTAGGGAGAAACAAGTTGATAAATGGGTTTTTGGCTGGGCACCCAGATTTGGCATTTTGTTTATATTCATTTTTGAACTTACTGTTACCCCCAAAGAAAAGAAAGGATAATAAGAAAAATTCCAAAGCCTGCAGACTTGAGTAAGTGGTCAGGCAGGGCTCCTTTGGGTATTGGAAATATGAGCCTGACCCATGATGCTTCTCATCTTTATAGTAAAGTGAATCCTTAGAGTCTGTTGTGGGAGCCATTCTTTCTCAATTCTCTGGCAGAATAAGAAAACAAAACAGCAAAAGAGTGTCCAATTTCATATAACTCCCTCAACTAGGCATTGTTAAACCTCTTAGGAAAAGAAAAGAAGTGGGGATTAAGATAATCTCTGGCTAAATGCACTGATGTTATTAAGGGCTTGTTTTGGCAGTGTAAGTACATTTGTAAATTTCTCAGTATGTCCTGCACAGCATTTTACATTGTTCAGTACAATGTATGTGCTGCCAGCACCCCTGACACCTATGTTCAAATTCCAACCTCTGTCATTAAAAATAATAATTGGAAAGAAACCCTATTGTAGCATTCAGTCGGTGGAGGTTTTGAGCAAGCTGTCTTAGTCTGATTATGAGTTGAAAAGCCCATTGCCTTATTAAAAATAACAGCACACAAAGAAATGCAGGATTCCTTTGGTAACATTCAGAAGTCATCTGTTTGTTTTGTCTGCCCCCAGCTGGGTAGTGTGCAACACACAACTAATCTTAGAATAAATTAGTTGAATTTAAGGGTGATTTGATATTCAACTGGTGGCTTATGTATGGGACCCAATATCCTTTTAAGGTATCAATATTGAAAATATCATCAGATTTTAAATGATGAGGATAAGACAATAGAAATTAGATTTTTGTAGCCTTTTCCAACTCTAATATTTTCAGCACATCTCAGATGTCATCCTCTTCCTTTTTTGCCCTTTTGAATGTCTCTTTCACCATTTCCCTTATGATCCATTTTTTTTTCTTGTCATTTGCATATCCTCCATAAAGTTTGGTAGAATACATAAGCAATATCTTTCCCTTCTGAAACCCCAAATCTGTAGTTGAATAGTCCATCCAGCATGTATATACCAAACTTCTGGCCCAACTACTGACCTGTGAAAAAAATCACAGTCCCTCCACCCTTGTGAAATTACATCCATCCTTCCCCTTCCTGTACTCCTCCTCCTCCCTTTCCTCTCTGATTTGGTCTATAGGGGCAATAGATTAGGTGATACTAGTAAATTACTTAGAAAGAAATGAACAAAAGCTGATCTCAGCTCCCCGGTCCAAATCAATGCTGACTCCCAATCCCTCTCAGATTATTGCTCTGGTCTGGATAGGCATCTTTATAAGTTCAATAGTGACATCCACCCTCTGAACAAAACAACTAAGTATGTCCTGAGTGAATCAATGAGTTTTTGGGTCTGGTACAAGTCTTTCTGCCCTAAATTGGACTCTACTTCTTTCAACGTTTATCAACACCATTTATATGCCAAGCATTGTGTAAGGGTTAGGCTGTGATAAATAGGAGGAGCCCCTCCTAGCCTAGTTAGGCAAACATACACACAAATAAATATTTTTCATATATTAGGAGGAAGTGACAAAAACAGTTATGCACAAAAGTATGGCAGCATCATAGATGGGAAAGTTAGCAGCTCTCCTGTGAGAGTCAAGAAAGACTTCTTGTAAAAGGTGACTTTTGAGCTGGGCCTTGAAGAACTAGTAGAAATTCAACAGGTAGAGAAGAGTAAAGGTGATCCTGTCAAAGGGAACAGTGTGAGAAAAAAGTATTGGCTAATCTTTGGAATGGTAGAAAATTATAGTTTGGGGTCAGACTGTGAAGGTTTCTTTGCAGCAGCATTAAGCATGACCCTGCATCATTTTAATTATAACTATTTTAATTTATGTGCTTTTCTTTGTTTTCAAATTTTTAAAGAATAATGATCACATATTACTTTATATTGAGAGAAAAATAACCTTAATGATAAAGGGGAAGTGTTCAGGATCTGCAGTTTGGGGTGAAAGGCTATTTTTACTTTTAGTGATTTCCACTTAGTGCTGCTTTGATGCTTGCCCAAGCAAATCATTGCAAGAATGCAAAGGAATACCTTCCTCCACAACCCAATATGGGAACTCTCCTCTTGAGGATGTTAAGAGCCCTCAAGGGAAGATCATGTGCTCCCAGCTGCAATATTTCAAAAATGGTTCATGAATGCAAAGGGGCCCTGTCCCTTAGTTCCACATTTCACACATTGAATGGAAACCTCTATGAAGAGACGCTTTTTTCCTGAGCAGACTGCTGTAAGCAAGTCCTAAGTGGAGTCTCATGGGCTCCACTATTTATATGTCAAACAGTTTGTTTGGCATGTATGTATTAGAATAAAGTGGAATTGGAATCAAAGAGCATGTTCTTCAATCAAATTATTTTTCCCATCATGGGAAACTAATTGTCCAAATTTCTGTCTTTTTTTTTCTAGAGACAATTCAGTTGGGCAGGCTGCCTTAATTCATGGGTGGAGATATTTTTGTAGTCTGTCATGGGTTACTAGCACAAAAGAAATCTTGACTACGGCATATATGGGTAATTACTAAGTCACTTAATTTAAAGAAAGATAGTTTCAGCTATCTTTCTTTCAAAAGAGAAATAAAAATATTCAACTGATCTCCTTTAAAAATTGTAAGCATGGCAATAGAAAGTGTCATTTAAGAAAACATAAAAATAAAATACAAATACACTTAATTCCCGTGCCAGAGCAAATTTAGGAAAGAATGACAATGAAGAGAAGAACTGAGAGAGGCTCAGTAAACTCAGTAGGAGGTAATGCTCCTACTCTCTGCTGCTTTCTGGCTATGGTATCAGAGGACATTATTACCCACCTCTTGTCATCATTCTCTTTTGTAAAGCTCATTAATTCTCCAACAGTTTTGAAAGTCTTTCTTCTACCTTGCAAAAGAATATTTCTGGATTTATTTTATTTTATTTTATTTTTTTAAATATATTTTATTGATTTTTACAGAGAGGAAGGGAGAGGGATAGAGAGCTAGAAACATCGATGAGAGAGAAACATTGACCAGCTGCCTCCTGCACACCCCCCACCGGGGATGTGCCCGCAACCAATGTACATGCCCTTGACTGGAATCGAACCCGGGACCTTTCAGTCCGCAGACCAACGCTCTACCACTGAGTCAAACCGGTTTCGGCTGGATTTATTTTAAAAAATCAAATTTTCTTTTGGAAACCAAGGTTTATTTTCTCACAGTGTTAGGTTTTGCATAAAGGAATGGCCTGCATGTAACACTGTACTTGAGGACTCAAAAGCATTGGCCAGTTTTTTAGAAGTGTTGGTACCCCGCTCTTTGTTCTCCCAATGGTAAGTACTATCTCATCCCATAGGCTCTAGGAATTATTTGAGAACTGGCATTTATATCATTATTCTTAAATTTTTCCTTATAAAATTCACCTTGGATTCTAAACAGGTTCTAATGGGAATAATATACACTAAGAATAAAAAAGAACTCAATGAACAACTCTATCAAAAAGAAAAGGTTATAATCCAGCTGGTGTTGCTCAGTGATTGAGCATCGACCCATCCACCAAGAAGTCATTTTTGATTCCTGGTCAGAGCACATGCCCAGGTTGTCGACTTGATCCCCAATAAGGGGCCATGCAGAAGGCGGCCAATTGATGTTTCACTCTTATATCAATGTTTCTCTCTTTCTCCCTCTCCCTTCCATTCTAAAAATCAATTAAAAATCTTTAAACACACACACACACACACACACACACACACACACACACATTATCTTCCCAGGTCCATCTTGTATGTTCTATGATGATAATGAGTACCCTATAAAGTAGGATGGCCTTTTATTTCGCTGTTACCTTGTTTAACTTTAAAGAAGGTTCTCCTGAGTTCTAGCATTTGATGACCTAGACTGTGGTTACATTATTCACATTCATTGTGTGTGAGTATATGTGTGTTTAACATTTATCTTGATGCCATCAATTAATATCCTTCCATACTAAAGTGTGAGGTCTTATCGTAGCCCCTCATCTTCTTAACTCTGAACCCTCACCAGTTTTTTGGTGATCTTTATCATTACAAAAAAAGGTCAAGAGTTAGGAGACTGGGAGATGTTCAGAGTGTTGTTGTTTTTTAACTTCTAGAGAAGTCAAATTGGCAGGCTTTTCTATGAGTTCAATTTTTCTTGCCGTGTGCTATGTTTAGTGAGAGAGTTTGAAGGTAGGAGGAGGCCTAAGGGAAACTCTTTCATTAAAGAGTGAACCATTGCTTCTTATAGACTAATGGCCATATTCCATTACCTCATGGAGAGAGGAGAATTACTCAGCCTCAGCCTTTAGTCTTTCAGTTTCCACTCTTGGGGACTGTATTATTACCTTGTAAAACAGAGCATTAATTGAACCCATCTTTTTCCTCTGTGAGAAGCTATAATGTTGACTTTTATTTTCAGAGCCCTGTATTGAGCCTCCTCACTTTGGAAACTGATGGAACTCAGCCACCAGGAGTTAGCTGTGAGGGGTTTGAGCATAGCAGAAAGCAACGTTTGCGGTATCAGGAGTTATATATGTCTCAATAACCTTCCTTGAGTTATTTTGTCAATCACCCTGCCTTTACTGTAATCCGAGCCTTTGTAAAGATATGCTGATTATTATAAGCTCTCTGTCTTTTAAATTATTGGTTGAAATGAAATGTTTTATGGCAATAAAATGGAAAATGGCATTAGTTATAAGAAAATAATTTCTACCAGTCTCCCACTTTAGGCCAGATTTGAGAACAACCCCCAAAAAGCTTTTCTGGGCTTAGGACTCCCACCAGTGTCCAAATGAGGTTCAGACTTGTGGCTCCTCCAGAGACCTATGTATCAGAGGAATCCATTCTTAGCCTGGAGACAGAATTGAATAATTAGTCCACTGCCATCAAATTCCTTGGCAGAGTCTCCAAAAACTTTGTAGAGGCTTAAGATAGACTTGGATATGAAGCACTCTATAATTTCCTTTCTACCAGGAATATCACTTTAGAAAATAAAAAGTGTTTTATTTTTGTTTACCACTGGCTATTTATTGCATAGATATTTTAATACCCCTCTATAAGCATATCCACATCTCTCCAATCTGTAATATTTTACGTTGTGTGTCCATGTATATCAGTAATAAGAAAATAGGCCAGAAATTTGGTTGGGTATTTGTGTTCTCGCTCTCTCTCTCTCTCTCTCTCTCTCTCTCTCTCTCTCTCTCTCTCTTAAACACACACACACACACTGACTTTTGCAAAAAAAACACACAAAATTGTGGTCTTTTAGCCAAGAATGTCTTTAAAACTCATTTACTGCTCTAATCAGCCTGGTAGAGCCTTTCTGTCATGCTGATAAGGAAATTAAACTTTTCTCATACTGGGTTTACTTGCCTGTTATGAACAGATGTTTTGTTTTTCTTTCAGGGAACTGATTCAGAAGCTGAAGTCGTTCATCAACTTCTATAGTGCTCTGCCTGGCTACATCTGCAGCCATAGCCCTGTGGCCGAGAATGATACCCTTTGCTGGAATGGTCAGGAACTTGTGGAGAGGTAATCTTTTTTAGCAGTGTTTGAGAAATAATTATCATATATGCACCTCAAGGATAATTATGTCTTCTTTTACCTCCATTAATTTCACAAGATAATTTCTAGGAAAATCATAATATGAGCATCTGTGACATGCCAGATGCTTTCTGTAACTCATAGACCTCAGAATTTACAAACTTTGAAGCACATAGAGAATTATGTATTCAATCCTTAGCTTCTTCCAGTTCCTAATTATGTTGGCCCATATTCATTGATTGATTAGAAGCAACGATATTCATACTAGTAACTTTAATTTATTGGAGTTAACTACATATTAAGCGCAATGCTAAGTAGTTGTCTCTATTAACTCTCTCTATCCTTATACCAATCCTCTGAAATAGATAGTTACTTTCCTGCGTTAGTGATGAAGGTGAAGGAAAGGAGAAAGGGGGAGGGGGAAGGAGCACTATTTCCCTGAGCAATTTTAATGAAGTATTTTACTATTTGAGTGTTTCTTAGTAACATTTGTTTTAACATTCATTGTCCATTAAGAATTTGCTAATAACTGGAAAGGAAATAATATATATGCATTTATTCAGCAAATATTTACTGAGAATCTTCTAACTGCCAGTCACCTTGCAGTGAATGAAACAGGAAAAATTTCCCCATCCTCACAGAGCTTTCATTCTAATGGACTAATTGGCTTTGCATGTATAAGGAATAGCTTTCAATTAAGGAATTAAATCAGGGAGGCTGAATGCTTAGGAAACCACATGGAGTTTAGTAACATGCTTTTAAAAATGTTTGTACAAGTGGTATTATATTTTAGAGAATGTACAGAAGAAACCTGAACTAGAGTTCTGAATATTTTATGGATTATTAGTTGCTTAATATAGGACAAGTGACTTAAACTCTCTGAACCTTGCTTTCCCCATCTAAAATATGGTATGGTTGTATTAGAGTCCCTCTGCCTCTAACAATATGTGTATTTTTCCACATTCATTCATTCTTTTTAAATTTTTTTTATTATTTAAGGTATTACTAATAGTAGTATATATGTCTCTTTTTCCCCCCACTGACCTCACCCCTGGCCTCCCCTACCCCCGGCACTTTCTCTTGTCCCCTTGCCCCCAGTATCTTACATCTGTTGGTTGTGCTTATATTATTATATATGCATGCATACAAGTTCTTTGGTTGATCTCTTACCTCCACAACCCTCCCCTACCTTTCCACTGTAGTTTGACAGTCTGTTTGATGCTTCTTTGCCTCTGTCTATTTTTGTTCAACAGTTTATAATGTTCTTTATTATCAAAAAATGAGTGAGATCATGTGATAGTTATCTTTCACTGAGTGACTTATTTCACCTAGCATAATGCTCTCCAGATCCATCCATGCTGTTGCAAATGGTAAGAATTCCTTCTTTTTTACATTATCATAGTATTCCTGTGTATATATGTACCACACTTTTCTAATCCATTCATCTGCTGATAGGCATTTAGGCTGTTTCCAAATCTTAGCTATTGTAAATTGCACTCCTATGAACATAGGGGCACATATATCGTTTCTGATTGGTCTTTCTGTTTTCTTGGGATATATTCCTAGAAGTGGTATCACTGGGTCAAATGGCAGTTAGGGGCAATCAGGCTGGCAGGGTAGCTGTTAGGCATCAATCCAACTGGCAGGGGAGTAGTTAGGGAGTAATCAGGCTGGCAGGCAGAATTGGTTAGGGGCAATCAGGAAGGCAAGCAGGTGAGCAGTTGGGAGCCAGCAGTCCTGGATTATGAGAGGGATGTCCAACTGCCCATTTAGGCCCGATCCATAAATTTTGTGAAGGATGTTGCCCTGTGGTCAAGAAAGTTCTCTTGGTGGAACCCAAAGTCTGTTAGATTTGTATGGGTTCAAAGTTAGCTAAATGTACCTATGCGCCATTAAAAGAGCCCTGTTGACTGAAACATTTTTATTTATTATGCTAGCTTCATATATCTTAGGGTATTGAACAAAATAATAAAATAAAGTAAGTATTGTGGTATGGAGAAAAGCTATTATTCCATATTCCCATTTATATACTTCTGAGAAATATTTTTAAACAACTTTTATCATTGATATATATTCTCCAGGAAAGGAAGGAAGACAGGAAGACAACAAAAAGAGGAAAGGAGAAAGAAAAGAAATCAAACATATCTGTAGATAGAATAAGGATAATGTAGTCCAGGAAGTAACTCTTTCATGCTTAGTACCCTCGGGTTATAATTAACTCATACTTAAATTACTGACCTAATGTAATGATGGGACTAGGGAATAGTGTCAAACAAGATTTTTTAAAAATTACTTATCAATATACATTTAATAATATGAAGTTCTATAGCCTGAGGATGTGTGTACCCTCTATTTGTACCATTTATAAAGGTTAGTTTTATGCTGCATGTCTCATCTATATACAGTTAAAACCTTTTCAGAGCTTTTCATTTAATTTCTCATTTAATTTAGTCTTAAGTAAAGTTACAACTTCATATTGTCAATGGATTGTAACTTTGTTATCTTTATAGTTTAGGTTTGTGTTTATTTAAAAATATTTTACTTTTAGTCAAGAAAATTTATGAAGTTCAAAGATCCTAATAGAGAATAAGACTTACAAGTGGAGATACTTGATTAAAAAAATATTGACACTGAAGAAAATATAGATATCCATATCAGCTATGTTATCAGAGCTATTTATAACCCCCTACTATGGATGTACCGATTTCTCAAATTTAAAAAGTTAAATGAGTCATTGTCTCTCTAAATAAAGTCATTTCATGTCCTTTTCATTTTTATCTTTTATAAATACAATCAATTGAAAGATAAATGAGGAGGAGGTTTTCACAGATCTAGTCTCAGGGAGTACCACAGAAGCCTATCATTTGTCCTTCTCACCTCCCCACAACCACCCCATCTTGGCTTGAGATAAACATTGGCTTCCAAGATTTAGTTGGAATCTTCAAATTAGCAAGCTTGATTATATTAGCTGCCTCCTGCACACCTCCTACTGGGGTATGCCCACAACCAAGGTACATGCCCTTGACTGGAATCTTACCTGGGACCCTTCAGTCCACAGGCTGACACTCTATCCACTGAGCCAAACTGGTTACATCTTAGCTGATGTTTTTGAATATTTATTCAAGTTGCAGCATGCATCATTACTTCATTTTCCCCCCCAAATACTATTTTATTGTACAGGTATAACACATTTTGTTTTCTTTGCATTTTATATGAACTCTGAGCAACTACTGTTCTATCAGGTTTCTTTGACCACCTCTGGATTCAGCTTGGCTCACCCTTCACTTTGAGGACAGGACAGCCAAACTGTCAGTTCTACCATATCCATCACACTTGACCACCACCTAAATGCTAGCCTCTCCTTGACCTGGCTTCAACTCTCTCTGTCTTTCTCTATATGTCTTTGTATTTATGCTTTCCTGAGTCTTTTTTTTCCCCTCAGTTCTATGTGTGTGGCTAACTTGTTCCTCCTATAACCAACACACCTCCTATAGGGGTTTATACTTCCCTTGTGAGTTTGAAGCTTATCAATTCTGCTTACACAACTACTTGTACTTTACTTTGTGGCATGATGCCTTAGTTCCCTCTGTGATTCAATCTTAAGCTGATCCTGATTCTCCCTTGTCATGTTACTGAGCTGGATGAGACTGACAAAAACCACAAAGAGGCAAATTTCAAATTTGCATGATAATCATAAAAAAAGCATCAAACTTCCCACAAATGTTCTTTTTTTGGCACAAAATTTGACATTTTTAAATGTAAAAATATCAATGATGTTAACACCTTCAGAAAATTTGACACATGAAGTCTTGAAGCATGTTGTTAATACAACAAAATAGAACACATATCAAATCGCATATATATCAACATATATGCAACTCCAGCTATTAAAAATATCTGCATTATTAACCAGTACACCTAGTAAGTCCCCTCCTTTCCTTGGTCACTTCTTGGACCCACTAAAGTAGCAGTACCTTTCCTGCCTCTCTTACCATTTTTCTCTACTCTCATATCTTTACAAGGCTATAAGGTAGCCTTCACCATCTCCAAAGCAAGCCTTTCATTCAATCTCCTCTACACACATGGCTCTTACTAATAAAGCTGCTGCCTGTGTATTCCCTATGGAGCTTTGAATCTTATGCAAGACGAAATCTCTTTAGTTCTAGATTAGGTGTCCAGCCTGGGTCCTAGTTCTACCATGGGTTGGTTGTGTAATATTGAGGAAGTCATTATCCTTCAATCTTCTATTGTAAAAATGAATTGGATAAAATGGTCTCTAAAGTTCTTTCTAGCTCTAACAGGCTAGGAGATTCTATGACAAGAATATTTGAGGGATAGGGAGTGTGAAAGGAGGAGGACTTCCACAAAACTGACTCGATGACTTTGAACTTCTATTTCTTTCCTGGATGGCTTCCCAAGCAGTTCAAAGTAAAAGTGATTCAAAAGGAGCTCCAGGGTGTAATCATTCTCATTAGGACAGATATAAGTTCTTTCTTTATTTGACTCCTCCAGGTATCTTTGGGGCTATAGAGTACCAGATAAGTTGGCTGTTTGAGATGTTGTCAGAGTTGTTTTTAGTTTCTGATATTGGAGAGTTTGGGATGAAATTCACATAATTACACCTTAAAGAAAATGTCTGCCCCATAATACCACATAACCCCAATGGGCTGCTGAGCAAAAGAAATGGAATTCAAAGTCTGTTGCTCCAAGTAATATTTGACACAACCACCCAGAATGAAAATTAAAAACCCTCTAACCACAGAAATATATCAGTATGGGAAGAGATACATCTAGAGAAGTGCCAAGGGCTGAAGGCAAGTAAGAGAAGAGCAATAATACAAAGTTGCTGAAAAAATAAATGAAGACAATGTTCACTCTTTCCGAAGACCCTACAGGCTAAGGGTAATCTTTGATCTAGTTGTCCTTGTGTGCATTGCTGTGAACTTTTAAGCATTTATGTAGCAGTTTATATTTTACCAAGTACTTTA